ATTATATTCTTATTAAAGATTTTTATATACTCCTAGATCTTATTCATAATTTCTTCTATATGTAGCAAGACAATCAAATATCTCGTATAAATATCATATATAGAATTTATCGATATATAAATATATTAATATCGATTATCTATATCTTCAATTGTAAATAAAGAATATAGAAATTAGAATATATAAATATTCTTCTTCATATACTGAAAATTATTATATATCGATAATAATTAAAATATTTCCAATTCTAGCCGAAATTATATAGTATTTATTTTAAATATCAACAAGCTAAGAAGAAGAGCCCAATTAATAATTAAAAAAATTAATATATAATATCTATATCTTATTATTAAAATACAATAACTATTTTTATAAATTTGCAATATTTATTTAAATAAGTAGAATAATATATTTTTTTACACATTATAGAAAATTATTCAATAGATTATAAATATAAGAAGAATAATAATAATAAAAATAATAATCATAATATTTTCAATCGAGCCGGTTTCTTTCATAGAGTCTTTATCGAATATTTCGTATCAAACCTAATACGGCTTTTTTAAAGATAATACAATATAACGAAATAACGAATTTAAACCTTATATTCCGGCGTACTATTATAATATATGTCTTTCAAATTTTATGCGGCAAATCTATTTTAATAATAATTTTTATAGATTATTTTTGTCTTTTCACAGATCCATCGCGACTTTTCGTAGACGTTCCCATACAAAGACCTTTAAATTACCTATATTCTTGAGAAATATTACTCTTAAAATATCCATTAATACCAATTTTATTTCTTTGAGATTCATTACCAATCGTATGCCGATTTCGTAATATTTTACCGACTCAAATTCCGAAGCAAATTGTATGTCACGGAGATCCGATACAGAGTTCAATCAGGCCAATAAACGCTCCGCGGGGTGAAACATCTTGCAATTTGCAAAGCAGAGTATCGTCGCTCAGGTTCTTATTGATTGGTTGGCTTGATCACGCCAGGTTTCTCATATTGCATAGAGATCGGGGTCATTCAACGACAACCTTCCTTCAGGTTGTGGATGCTGCAATACAGTGTACGAAATGGTCTGCTCCGCTTGGTGAATCACATCGCGCAGCTCACATTCCGATGCCAAACACCTTGGAAAGGGAATCCAGATGCCCTCTGGCCGTATGCCATTCGGACCCGGCTAGCTTGAAGTGCAACAACTTTTCTCCCTGCGCTGGCCTGAACCACACAGATCAGGGCCTTGTTCTCCCACCTGACTGAATACAGTTACTGATGCATCTGTCCGAAGCACGAGACTGTGAAGCATCCGTGCCACTTGGCGCGGCCTGTAAGTGGTCGCGGCGTCTGACTCCGGATCCCAGAATGTGGATGAACTGCAAGAGAGAGAGAGAGAGTGACCATAGCAGCGTATCTTTTGTGAAGGCATTCGGCACTATTTCATAGGCCTCGTGTGGAAGCCTGCGCCCTTCTTCTCCATCAGACTAATGTTCACAATGTATCTGAGAAAGGAGCAGTGGGCAACTGGTAAGACAAAGACTCAGAGACTTTTAGACAAAAGCCTTAGGCCGGCTTGAGCTCGATGCTTGAAGTTACCACTGAGCTCCTGCATCTTCTCCAGAACCACCTGCCTCGGAAGGTCGACTCGGAAGAAGGAAGAACCCCCGCCCCCTCCGAGACTAGGCCGGGCCCCGGGCCCCAAGGAGTTGCACCACTCCTCCACCTGCTTTGGGTTGTAATCCTTCACGGGGCCCAGCACCTCTTCGATGCATTGGGGTAAGCGGACGTTCACCTGAAGAGAGATCGCCACAGCCGCAGTCAGACAAGCATTAGGCATGCTCTTCAGCCTCGTCCTTGATCCGCGAAAACGACGTGATGCTGTCCTGGGACTGTTTAGCCCTGCATGATTTCAAGACACCAAGGTGACCGGCCTGGCTGGGCATCGCGCGTGGACAGGACTACAGTGACTACAGTCAGGGCGGTCTGCGTGCTGTGCTAGGCGGTGCGTTGGCTGCTGTTTTTTGCCGTGTGTTCGCGTGTGCGACTTAAACCAGGAAGCCGGGCAGAGAGCTTCACACTGCTTTTGTTTGGGAAGCTTCGACCCCAGCCAGGGGCCACTCATGGCCACTCCTCTCGAGCCGACAATAACCAGAAAAGAAAGGGTAGCAGCTACTCACATGGGTTGGCATCACGGGAAGAACTACTCCGACACAGCTCCAACCCAACTGCCATCGGCATGGCAACGCATCAGCCTCCTACTAAATTTTCCAGTCCCGGATACAATGTCACGAAGCCCCGGAGAGCCGAACCGAAACCCGGGAGCCCTAACCGATGACTCATAAATCATATAACTGTCCATCCTAGCCGCTCCTAGCCTGAGCCCATTTCCTCTGCAGAAGCGGCCTTCGAAGTAGCGAGGCTCAGGATCTCATTACAAAGAGGTACTTTACTTGCTGACCAGAACTGCCCCTGATCCTTTTAATGATGCTGCGCAGAAACAGGAGACTGGCGAAGAAACAGCAGTTCAGAGCAATACAAGAATAAGGCTTGTCTTGCAGTCTAGTTTCTTTGCGGCGCCCTGCGAACCCAGAAACTTCGCACAATTTCGTCTCTCCATTGGTAGGTTGCAGCGTGAGAGGGAGCAAATGCGCATTTTTACCTGGTGGTGTGCAGGGAAGGAGCCAATGTGCTAGCTTTGGTGCCCGGAGCACAACTTCGCCAAATCAGCCTTTTTTCGGGCCCGCGGTGCCATTCAACATCTTGGCACCTTGAGTTTCTCCGTTGGTAGGGTTCAGTGCGTAAGGTTTCGGACCCATTGGAACGTGCCAGCTCGTTGCGACCCGTCACGTCCAGCCAAACAGGCTGCTGTTTTCCGGAGATTTGAGTGGAAACAAAGGTCTGCAGAGCAACGCTCAGGAACTGCGACGAACCGCGAACCGAACCGCTTGCGAACCCGCACGAATCACAAGCGAACCCAACCGAACCACGAGAACCCGGACATGCGCAAAGTTTCTGAATCCTTTCGGGACGGCAAAGTACCGGAACCCAAGTCCAGGTCGGGAACGACACGAGCTGACTTCCGCGCAGGGGAGCTTCTAGCCTCTGAACAATGACAGCACACCAGCCATATCCGATCCTGCTGCGAGCCCAGCTTAAAACCCAGCGACCCTTTACCTTCTTGAATTTCCGCCGGCACGACGGTTTCCGGGCTTCTGGTGCTGACGCGGGGCTACGAGAAGACCTGTCTGCTGTAGCTCTGCCGAAGTTCCTCTCCGGTTCCAAGCACAACTAGATGCGGAAGATGCGATGCATTCAACATGGAGAACGCCTTACTGGTGTGCGGGCCTGCGTTGCACTTCAGAGGGTTGCAGATGCCATAAAGTGTCACAGAGGCCATTTCCTCAATGTTTGTCTGGAGGCGGCAGGGCGCGATCAGGTTCCCCAAGAGCCTCATCTCGGAGGAGGAAGTGGATGGCTGAACGCCAGGCCAGGCCACCAAGGTTGCTTTCGAAGTCCAGGTTTCAGGACTTTGAAGCCCAAGAAAGCTTCAACGATGAACTGCATGATGCAGGCGCTGCATGTCACTCTTTGTGTCAACCATGTGTGGTGGGCCCAGACATCACCAAAGGCGGTAGGGCACTGCTTTGGGCCCAGGTTTAGGTCTAGTGGTTCTCCTTGCCTTTGTGGCGCCATTCGCCAAGCGATAGCGGCCTTCAGCATTCCTTTCGAGGGTCCCCAGACCCGCATCGAAGGCAATGAGGGAGAGATCCGCAAGGATGCCGAAGCTAGGCGGGGCCGCTGCTGCCGCCGGGGGCCGACCTTCGTGTCAACAAGTACGTTCTTGGAGCATTCACCAAGACCATGCGAATCCTGGCGGCCATCGCTCCAGGAAGACTTGACGACCGTAAATCCGTTTGGCGAGCTTCAAAGCTTCGACAGGGTCTTGCTCCTCTTGCTCTGCCTTCTTCTTTGCCGCTGCCCATGTACCGGCCGTGAGGCCCTTCCTGATAAACTTCAGATTGGAAGCCCACAAGCAATAGCTTTCCCTCTGCAGGTGATGCTCTCTAGAGATCTGACAACATGCCACTCTCACTTCATGGACTTCATCACGTTCACCGGCACGGCTTGGCCCTTCATCGAAGCCATAGCTCTCATCGCCTTCATGAAACTCTTCATATGCCGGGTCAAAGAGCTTCTTGGACCGTAGTTGCGGGCCTTGTGCAATCCACTGGAAAGTCGCTCCGGCACCTCGGATTTCTCGCTGTGCCGAATGGCATGGCGGGCAAAGAACCCAACCGCCTCCATGCGGCCGACCAAAGCCTTACGCCTTACGGTGGCACAGAAGCGAAGGTCAGATCTTTCCATGGCCTTGTATACGAGCTTCCACAGCATGTTGTACTTGAGGCCAAAGGGCAGCCCTGAGAAAAGAAACTGCGAAGCTTAGCGTGAGCCATGGAATGTCCTGGAGAGCCCTCTCACGTGTTTTCCGTCACGGGACTTCGCCAGCTTAAAAGCGGCCCTTCGTGTCGAAGCGATAGCCTTTGAAGCGCTTCGACTCTTGGGCTTTGCGTTATCTGCCTATGCACTCCGGGTCTCGCCAGCGCGCTTGGACCTCAAGGACCCTGGCGTGGCCAACGTAGCGTGTGCTAAGATCTCTTCTTCCATGGATCCAAGCAGGCCAAGCTAAGGGGCCTCAGGGACGAGCACTGCAAGCCGAAGCCTGGACCCTGGCTTTAATCAAAGCAATTCCAGGAGGAGTCGATCGGCAAGGCCTCAGATCGTATACGTCGGAGCACTGAGTAGGATGGACTAGGACTACGTAGGACGAAGGGAGACATCAGGCCATCTTGTTTTGGAGTCCTCGGATGCTCTGAGGGCGGAACCGTAGTCTGCGCTTCTCCTGCAGGGTCTGCTTTTCGGAGATACCGCCGTGCTTGTCGACGGAACACCGTGTTCTCAAGCCTCCGCAGTGAAGAGACGAACAATTTACCTTCTGAGCTCACCAGGGAGGAGTGGCCCTCCAAAAGGCCCTGGCAGGTCCGTGGCTGCAGGCCGGCGCCGGGCATCCAAGGCCAGCAAAGCAGCAAGGACCTTGCAGTAGCGGATTTCAGCCCGAAAGGCAAAGCCCGGCCACATGTCTCGTGCTTAAACAAAGGCAGGCAGAATGCTTGCAGAGCTGCAAGTACGTATCTAGCAGGGAATCACAAGACCTTTGGGCTGAGGGCAGGCATGACAGAGGCATCAGTCATGGAAGCTGCCGGGAGGTTCATCTCGTTGGAGGGACTTTTTCTGTGATGTTGAGGCTTTGATGCGGACACCGCGAGGCTCAGACCAAGCGAAGGGGCCCGATGCGTCCGCCAGTGTCGAAGGGTAGCCATCCGGAGGCGTCTTCCTGAAAAGACCGCAGAGCCCAGTTCCGAGAACCGAGGGTATCCATCTCTGCCAAGTCTGAGCTGGTCCTCGGCGCTCGGCGCCTTCTCGTTGGGAGCCGCACGGCGCTTTTCTTCCACGAAGGACTTGATGAGGCCCTGTGTTGATACTCGCAACAACCAATAACCAGATCAGGTTCTTGGTTCGAAGTTCTGGCTGTCAGCATTCATCCTCTTGTCCAGCCTTCACGACATGTGGATCGTCGTGCGAGAAGGGCAGGGAAGAGAAGCACATCGCGTAGAGCACCATCCCAAGGGACCTTACAGTTTCAGTGCTCCATACTGTGTGTATGTGTGCTTGGTGTGTATGTATGGTGTATATTTGTATGCTAACCTCCTCCCCATCACATGCAATCTCGACGATTCCAAAATTTGAAAACCAAAAAATTCCAAAACAGAATCGTAAAGTCTCAAAAATTACCAAAAGTTTACAAAAAAAATCCACAAAGTCCAACACTTCCAAAAACTGCAAAACCTCAAAAACATCCAACACTTACAACACCTACGGAACCAAGCTTTAGAGTTTCGGAATTCCGAAATTTCCAAGACTTGCCCTCCGACTTTTGGAACTGTTGGAATTTAGAAGTTTTTTGGACTTTTGGCATTCCGAAAATAAATCCCAAAACTGTTTTCTCTCTCTCAGGGGTCGCCGTCAGACGCCTGAAAATGTCTTGTGGAAAATGTCTCTTGTTGGGAGTTTTGGTTTTTGATATTGGGCTGTCTGTGGGCTTCAAATAATGAATGCTCGTATAGTGCTTGAATTAGACGTGTTCGACCTGCTTTGATTAATTAGACGTGTTCGACCTGCTTTGATTAATCCATACCTCAGTCGAAACCTTATTTTGAGTAACATGTGCTTAGCTGCGAATATGTATACAACCAAGTAGCGGATATTTCAATATCATAGATTATCAGCTGGAAATTGTGCGAGACTGTTGAGTTCCATTCCGGGTCCAACGAATCGGATACCAAGAAATAAGAAAGTCCGATGACACGTGCTAGTCGGTCCACTAATTGCTGATACGGCACTAAAACATGTCAGGTACTTACATGATGTGCAGTATTGAATTCGCCTCGGCCCCGGCGGAAGCGGTCATTTAAAATTGGACTTCTGGTTGGCAACTCCACCCCCCCCCCTCCCCCCCCGGCCACATCCTCGTCTCTTCCTCGCGGCGAGGCAAGACGGGCTAGCTTACATCATTTGTGAAGCTGATGTCATTGCCAAAGCCTGGGAATTCTGCGGCTGTCTTCGTAAAGCTTGACTCCCTTTCCAACATATGTGACGTGAGGTTGTATACGAGACCAGTGAGTAGTGTGATATGGTTATAAAAGAAACGTCTATGGGATAATGCAGGGAATGTGCCACCTTGCACGTGGGATTATTGTTCAGAGCCTCGGCATGAAAAAATACTGACATTCTGAAGCAAATGCACTCATTCACTCGAGACCTCACGTGTGTGACCTACCCGCTGCTTTCCGAAGCAATGCACCTGCTTCAAGTACAGCCGGACCGAGGCGGACGACGCGAAGCGTTTGACAACATACAAACATGTGTAGGTACTGGTACAACACAAAAAAGGAAACTATGGATTCGGCTACTGGTGGCAAGTATTTAGCACTTGATGTCCACAGACAGCTACTCGAATTTCTCGTATTTTCAAAACTTCGTTGATATGAGCATCTGCACACAAGTGCACTCACATGTAATGGGTGTTCAACTAATGAACCGAGCCGGAGCGGCTGAACCGCTCCGGAACCGAACCGCTGTATGGAACCGCAAAGAACCGGAAACTCTCGAACCGGAACCGCGGTTTGGGGTTTGAAAATGGGGGTGCTTTCCAGCCACTGGTACCAGCCTCAGCCTCAGCCACCAGCCACCAGCCACACACCTCCAGCCAAGCCACCAGCCACCGGCTGAAGGCTGGAGGCGGGTGGCCGGAGCGGCGACTGGCTGGTGGCTGGAGCGGGTGGCTGGAGGCGGGCTGGTTGTCAGGGTGGCGTCGAGAACTGCGAACCGCGGAATCGAAAAACAAGAAACGCTAAGAACCGCGAACCGCACAGAACCGAACCGCTCAGAAACGCTCCCTCTAAGAACAGAAACGAACCGAATGGAACCGCTTCATAGCCTACTCAGAGCCAAGTAAAATTTCAATATTGTCACGTGCAGGGCGTGCAACTTGAGGGAACTCGCACTGAGATCTCGGCCACATGTCGCTCTTCTCCGAATACTCCCGCTCGAAGTCCTCCATGAGGAGCAGCTCCGGCGCCGTGTACTCCACCTTTCGAGCCAAAGAAAAAAGCGACGCGAAGGAACCGACGAGAAGAAAGTCATCACGAAGGACAGGACGGCCATTTGTGGTTCGAGGCCAAGCTCCTGGCAGTGCCCGTGTAGCCGCGCGAGGCCGCTGCCGTTGCACCTCCGCCGAGGCAAGTGAGGGGCTTGGGCCCGGCTCAGCTGTGCGTTCTCCGGGCTCCCTGCTGGCCGGTGGCTCCCCAAAGGCTTGAGCCGTTCCGAAGTCGCCTGGACGTCGGAAACTCGCTCTGCGAAGACTCTCTTCTCTGCCTGCTCGTTTCGAGGGCCACACTCAGAAGCGCCCTGGGAAACATCTCGGATCCGGGGCCCCTGCAGGTTCGAGGGCGTGGAGGCTTCTGAAAAAAAAACCACAGAGCGCAGAACCTGTTGCTGTTGTCGGGCCAGGAGAGAAGGATGTTTGTCGGCTTCAGGTCCCGGTGGAGGATGCCCTGCCTCAGGAGATCCAGCAGATCGCAGAGCCGTAAAATATTTGAGAACAGTACACGAGGTACTGAAAAAAGGCTGAACAGTGTAGGCTTTTTTATCCCAGATATTCAACTACAGTCTTTATCCCATTTTTGATAGAATATAACATTAGTATAATCTCAGCAGTCAGGAAGAATTGCGCCTGTGCAGGTGCTGCAATCCCAGGAGGATGTCTAAGAGGAAGTGCCAGATCTCAGATGAGAAGGCGTTTTGCGAACTGGGAACGCGTGCAGCCTTGCAGCCGCCTGTTCGGTGGGCATCTGGTCCTTGGGCGTCTGGGAGTTGCCGTCGTGCCATATCTGCTCCGCCAACGAGCCGCCGTTGCAGTACTGCCTGGCGGCCACGGTGTTACATGAGAGCCCCTGGCCGCAGCCGAGTGCACAAGCAGAAATCCTGGGGCCGGGCATAAGGATGAAGAGGAACGGCACCTCTCCGAACCATCTCAGCACTTCCACACATTCCTTTGCTAGAATCACGGCCGAGGCACGAAGGGACAGAACTCGGAACGCCTGGACAGCTCCAACCAGGAATGCTTGTACCTCGCACGGTCGCACACCGTCTTTGTGGTTTCAGAGATGTCGCTGAAGTTTGGGTCGGAGACTCCACTATGTTCGGATGATGAAGGCGCTCGAAAGTCTTCACCTTGCAAGGCGAGACGGGGAAGCCGTTGCAACTTGGCAAGTAGCCGCCCCACAACACACGACGTTTTCTCCCGTAAGCGAAATCAGGGCCACTCGCTGCAGCCCTCGCTCAGGAGCTACGTGAACTCGGGATCCATCACTTGCCTTTCAGACACTTCGAACATCTTCGAATCTCAACAGACAGAACTCAGAGCACAAGAGACCCCATCTCGACGCTAAGACGTTTGCCAAGGCACCGGAGGCCTTCCCGGTGTCTTTTGGCATGTCCGGCAACTCTTTTGCAGACTCGCTCCAATCAAAGAGGTCCTTTGAAGACTGCAGAACACATCACCAGACCGTACCGCAGACCGAGCCCTGTTGCGGTTTCCTCTCCCGCCGCCTAAGTCCGTTAGGGCAAGCACGAGTCCTCACGGGCATGTGGCGCGGCCACCACACGTAGCTACTGCTGTTACTACTTACGCTGACTTGCACCCCTGCTGCTGATGCCACCGCTACTACATTGGGACAGTGTCTGTCAGAGCCAGATAGTTTTGCCGTGCAAGGCTACCACCTTGGCCCAAAAGCTCAAGCCGCACAGAGTGCAACGAAGGTGCATCCACAGCTATGCCACATAAATCCAAAGCATCCTTCACCCATCCTCAGTAAGAGAGTAATTGCTCGAGGGCATTTGAGGAAGGCAGCCCGTTGATGAGCCCCAAGAGAAGAGAGCTACTTCTCCCTTCAGAGCCGCGGTGCGGGGCGGGCAGTGTTCGCACGGAGCCGGCTTCGCCATGGGGAAGAAGTCTTGCAGAAATCGACGGACCCACTCCTTGCTAGGGCCCCGCATGCGATCAGAACTATTCTCAAACCGAGCATGAGTAGTCGCGTGCCACGATTCCGGAAATGATCCCGACTTGATTTGCTGCCGCATCTCTTGCAGGAGATTCCTGCAGCAACAACATTGCGGGCTGGGGGTTTGGAGGCGGAGCTGTTTCAAGCTGAGGATTCAATTCAACTTCTGCCGCTCGGCCAAGGAGCAGCATGAACCAGAGATTGTGCAGTGTGATGAGCTGCGCAGCCACGGGCTCTTTGGTAACGATGGTGTACAACATGGCTCTGGTGTAATCCTTCACGTTACCAAGCATTTAAGATTGTTTTGCACAGTCTCGCATGATGCCAGGAATCATTCAAGGTCTTAGGCAACACGGAGTGAGCAGTGAACTTGAAAGATTAACATCGTGGAATTCGGAAGACTCGCTTCGCAGCTTGCAGGACGGCCTCATTTTTTTCCTATCCGGTCGCCTTCGCAAAGCCGTCAAGGCAAGACCCCGCGACGTTACTCACTGCTGTGCAGGGCCTTGGCTTCAAAACCCCTTGTGGTCTAGGTCCTTCTGGGCGCAGCAGAGTGATTCGTCAATTCAAACTAGATACGCAGTTGTTCGTGGGAAGAAAAGACAGTATGCTAGAAGTCCCGACTCGGAGAGTTACTTGGCCCAAGTTGTCCTTCAGCGGACCCTGGCCGTTTCCATCGCGGTCCGGCTCCAGAGGACGATAGTCACTGGCGAACTCGGCGCTCGTCAGCCCTGCGTCTACACTTCCACAATGAGGCGTGTAAAGGGCGCAAGAGGCAAGAAGATCGTCGGGCTCGAATTGCTTGCGCCAAGTAGCTGAGCTGGCCACTCCGCACCAAAGCTGTCCCGAAGCGTGCCGTTCGGCAGGGATAGACGCAGTCAAACCTCACAAGTCTTGCACCCGCTCCAATAATTGCACCTATAGTAGAAGCCAGAAAGTTGGAACATTATGATCCTCATGCCCTTAATAAAAGTAGACGGGATCCTGGCACTAATCCTCCTAAACCCATGTACCAACTTTCTGGGATTCGCTGTGCACGCATGTTCGCATGACCAGGGCAAGCCAAGAGCATGTCGACGCCCAGCGCGACACAAATCACGATGTCCAGGGGATAGCCCACTCCCATCAGGTAACGCCTCGGCGTGACAAGTTGGACACTGCAAGCCAGGAAGGGCCGGCGGCTTTTCTCAGGCAGGTCGCGGCTTCATCGGAGGGAGGCCACTTTCAGGTCGCGTGCAGCGTTCGACCACGCGCCAGAACTCTGACTTGGCCTCGCCTGAGCAGAGAACGGCCTGACCCTGCAGCGCACCTCGGAGCCTCGCGGAGCCTCGCCTCCTGACAAGCCCCCGATGGCGTAGCCGGGCAAATCACGTTTGATCATCTCCTGCGCGCCGGGAAGGGGGGCCGGGGGAGACGGACATGTGGCACGCGGCATGTCCTTCAAGGAGTAGTCCCGTAAGCCTCCGTCCTTGACGTCCAGGTGGCCCTGAACGATGCCGAAGAGATTCCTGGCTCAGAGCCGGGGCGGCCGTGGCTCAGAGGCAGCTCCGCAGAGCTCCGCTACTCCCTTCTCTCTTGCGGCCCCAAGCGGCTGCTGCTCTGGATTTCGGTGCGCTTTCATGCATCGGTCAATCCTCAGCAAGGCCACCGCGAGCCGAGGCAAGGGTCCGCTGTCGACGTCACAGGCAACTAGGTCAGGTGCGCATGGTTTGCCCCGCTGCATGGACTTAGAATGCGAACGCGAGTTGTTGCACGACATTTGGGTTAAAGTGGGCTAGTGGAAAATACTGGAAAGTAATTACTCTTCTCTTATGCAATTTCATGTGCATTGTGTCCTGAACTTCAGGATGCATTGCGGCACAAGCGCGCGATGGTGCCATTACAGTTCGGGCATGGATGCACTGGTGATCGAAGAAGGTCTGGGTGGATGCTATTACGGTTGGACGCTCTGGTCATCGGATGGGGTCTGGGTGGACATTATTACGGTTCGGGCACGGATGCTCCGGTAATCTGATGGTCTGGGTGTACGAAAAAAGTCATGCGGTGGCGAAAGCACGAAAGCACGGGGCAATCCGAGCGTGCCCAACCAAATAATCAGGGCTTTCGCTGGCCCAGCGGCCATCTCAAAGTCCGATCCGTCGCCTCTTTGATGCGTGCCTCGTCCTTGACAGGATCCAGCGTGGAAGACACCTGCAGGTGCCACGGGACGAAAGAGGTCTGACATTATACCACCGGCCGAGTTGCCACATCGTCCAGGGCCATCCTGGAACACTCAGATGGACACTGCTTTGAAGCCTGGAACTGAGCAAAGCCGAGGGCTGTCATGATGTCGGCCCCGATGTCGTTCTGGGACTCAATGGACTTCTCTGGCGTCAGCAGCATCCGGCTTCCCGGCTTCTTCGGGTCTTCAAACTCGACACCATCTTCCTGACCCATGCGCAAAGACCGCTCCGCCGCTCCGCCGCCCCGCTTTGAGCAAGCCAAGAGTCTGTAATCACGGCCAGCTTCAGCAAGGAGACCATCTGAAACCCCCCGCTGTCAGTGAGGATGTTGCCGTTCCTGCACACTTGCGAGTAGCGGTGCGAAAGAGCTCTCAGTCTTTCTGCACTTTCAGAAGAGGCACCAGTTCATCAGTTTGTGCAGACCACCGCATTTTCGAAGAAGCTCGCAGGTGGGGCGGTTTGCCAGGTGGAAGGTGTTCCCCAGCAAGATCCGGCCTAGACTCCCAGGTCCCAACATCCGTTTCCTCGCGTAGTGAGGCTCTAACTCTACGACTCTGTGCGGCCGACAGCCGAGCGTCTCCATGTCCTCCTCAGCTCCCGCAGCTCGCTGCAATGTGAAGGAAGGCTCAGTGCAGCCGGAGTGGCGGACGACATGCCCTTGATGGTGCCCTGCGTGCCTGGGAGTGCTGCGCTGGATTGCTTGGTTCTCGGCTTCAGACTTCCAGGTCACCTAATTCCTTCCCATCTCGGATCTCCGTCGAGCCACCAACTGGCATGAAAACCTGAGCGGACCATTGCATGCAAGTCAACTACCAAACAAAAGCTGATGTCAAATGACTCAAACCACCCATGTTGCCCCGAATCCGAAACATTCGGGAATTCGAAAGACTAGAAACGGTTAGATTCAAGTTTGTATCCAAGTGTTACCTTCTATGGACCCCTCGTAAACAAGGTACGTTTCTTCAAGGGCCGCGAAGTCGGCTGGGCACAGTAGGGCCTACTAGTAATAGTAGCGGTCGCATTTTGCATCCACTTCAAGGCTTCGTCACGACGAGCGGCTGGTGTCAGCACGTCACCATGGGGCAAAGTCACTGTTGCAGCTCGTGCACGGCCACAAGTTGCTTCGAGGTGGAAAACCAAGGGGGGCCGGCCTGCGACAAGATGTAGTGCCCTCCCAGACAAAACCAACGCTTACGCCAAGTTGCCTGCTTGGGATGGCCGATTGGCTTCTGCCTGGGCATCCTCCAGCTTTCGCTTGGACATGGCATCCTATTCTCCGCGATTGGCAATATGGACGTGGTAATGGTGGGTGCTATGCTGGTTGGTTTATAGCCCTGATCGTGTAGCTGGTGCTGATTTTTACCGTCTCTTGCCCGTCTCGCATACCATCCTGAGGCTGAATCTCAGAATCTGGCTAGAGGTTGCATTGGAGTTCTGTGCTCGGAACACCGTGCCGTCACGTCAAGATTGCCAGCTGGTAGCTTGATCAGACTACCAGCTTAATGCGCTCTGAGAGGTGGACTTCCCGCACCATGTCCCGGAGCCAGACCTGCTCATCGCATCTAGGGGGTACAGCGTTGACAGAATCAACACAACGCAAAGGCTCGGTGAGGGCTCAGCCACGTCCCTTCGCTCGCACTCTTCTCTGATTCGCCCAACCCAGTTGCCTCTGCAGGCCTCCTCGCTTGGCAGAAAACGCCTGCGCTCACCCTCAAAGCCTCCCCAAATGCATGAGGAAAGCCTTGATCGAATCCTTGTGGAAGGGGCAATCCTTCCTTGCCCGGCCCTGGCCACTCAGGGCACCGGCCTCTCTGCTCCAGGACTTCGCGCCCTCTCTTTGGTGGTTTGGGAAGATCTGACTAGGACGACTAGGAGGCCAAGGCTCAGGGCTCAAGGCCCAGGCACCCGACAGCGAGGTCTACTCAATCTAAGGTGGTCCAGTTTTCCGCGAAAATTGCTGGGACGAGCCTCAGCACAGGGCATCAAAAGGAAATCCTGCCTTTGAGAGCAGCCGGTGTACGCTCTAAGGCTCTATGCACATTGCTGCCGGTGGAGGCGTTCGACTGACAGAGCGCAGCACTCCACCGCGCCTTGTTGTCTCCGACCGGCACCTGGTGATGCGGCAGGTGTGGCGCCAAGACGAATCAAGCTTTTCCTACAGTGGTCGCAGAACCCCAGACATGCAGTTTCGGAGTCTCACTTCAGCATCAAGTCGCCTCTCCGTTCAGGTACTGTAAAAAAGAGTCATCCCTCAGTATTGTCTCATTCTGCCTCATTCCTGTGAAAGCAGCTGATCGGCTTGGCAAGCGAGGACGTTGGCCCAGCTGGCACCTTCTTCACAGCATAGTCGCCCAGCATCATGTCGTCTAGAACGTGACGGCAGAGGTAGACCGCCCCGAAACTGGCGAAGTGGCAGAGCAAGACGACTGTGGTGGAATCGATGCGTCAGCTTCCCATGGTTCACCCATGCCTTCCAGACCCGAGCAGTTTCGTCTCCTGAAAGAAGCGGACGTAATACCTTGTGACAACACCCCGGGCGATGAGTCCCACTGTCCCATGACTCTCCCCCAAACCCAGGTTGGACGCGGGCCCCGTGTTCAGAAGGCCTGCAGGAAGATGTCGCAGAGCCGCCTCAAACGGAGCCGAGCTGAACCATGCTGTAAGACGTCGTTGGCCTAGTTTTTGTTCCGAGGCACGGCAGCTGCTTGTTGTGCTTCCGCACCCCCTTCGGATGCGAAGATGGGTACCTATGTGACGGTGTCAGTGTGACTGCACGCTCAAACCTTGTGCACCCAGTGAACACGCCTCCGCCGGATTCGACGCTTCGGCGCCGAGGAGGAACGGATTCGCATCGTAGTCTCCATCCTCAGCCCGTGCACAGTGCGGAACCTGGCCGTATAGGACCGGTCTGAGTGCCAAGCTCCGATGGCTATCGCATCGCCCTCGGCGTTAAAGGACGGCAAACAACTACAGACCCACATCCGAACTTCCCTAAACCGCCTAAACCCAGACCCAGACTTCGCGAGTAGAAAGGCAGTGCCTGCTCCTCATCAGACACGCCCAGGCCCGCCAGGCGATCCATGGCACTTCGCGAAGGCGCCTCCTCCTGACAACAAAGGAGTGTGCAGAACTGCCTTACTGGCGCTCAGCCCAAAACCTCCCGGCCCCTCCCCGCGCCGGGAAGTCGTCGCGGCCATCACGCTCGTCCGAACCGCGGTCTTGCTTCTGGAACTTCAGCCTCCAAATGGGTGCTCGCGAGTTGCCGCTGCGCTCTCGCTCTTTGGGCGCGCCGCCCTGCAGCGTTCACCATTTCCATGAAGGTCTCCACGTCGAAGCCCTGTGACCAGAATGCAGAGCTTTGCAGACCCAATCTTATGTGCCTTGCGCTTTTTGGACCCGGCCTCTAGGTCCATGTCGCCAGAGTTGTCGTACTTTGCACGCTTGTTCTCGTCTGACAGGACCGTGAAGGCCTCGTCCGAAAAAAGACAAAAAGCTTCAGTCTTGGCCTCCGCCTCAAAGCCTCGGCGCCTCGGCGACCTTCTGGAACTTGAGCTTGGCATCGGGGTCGTCCGGATTCTTGTCCGGGTGAAACCTCCACGAAAGTCATCGCAGCGTGACCATGCAGAAGCACGCGGAGACAGAGAGAGCGCGAGAGAGAGAGAG